CTTGACAGCGATCGCCACACTACTCCACTGCGCATGAAAACGCGCGCCCAACTTCATGCCTAGAATGAAGTGTTTGTGTGTTGCTTCACATGGGCACAACAACAAGTTACATACATTTTAAACGCTTGCTATTTATAAATACGCAAGAAATGTGTTTTGGGGATTTAATGATGTCTTTCAAAAAATGGTCAAAAGTTCAATGAACGGCACATTTTATATGTCAACTAAGAGCAGTGTGAAAATAGTAAATCCATATGTGTTTTTTAGAAGGCTGCAGGCGCAACATTTTAAAGCAAGTTTATATTCATTTTGTGTTCTATGATTGTTGTAAAATCAAAGTGGGTGGTAAAAAACGAAGTTATTTTTAAAGTAATTTAGAATAAATGGCAGATTAAAGCAAAATGTAGCATACAAACAGGCGCTGAGATTTAAAATATAAAATAAGTTTATATTCGACAGTTAAACTCCGTGAGAAAATTCTTAGATATATAACATAAGTTTTTTTTCAATTAATTTTTGAACTCTTCTGAAATCCTCATTTCATTACTATGAGATGGGTACCACTGGAATTGACTTTATTGATCAGTTACACCTAACTTTCAAACATCAATTGTCGGAAATTTCGATAAAAATTAGTTCGTGAACCGAGTCCAAAGCATGGAATGAGTCAGTGCAGGTCTCAAAAAGCTCAATAAGTCATGTCGTCTATATTTTGAAAAGCAACTGGAATAATTTACAGCTACTATATGGAAATAGTATCAATAATTATTATTATATAGTCATTGGAACGTTTGCCAGGCGAAATCGCGGAAAAACAGTTATATATAAAGAAAGTGCTGTTCCATCAAGACAATATTCAGTGTAACAAATTAATGAAAAGGTACGCAAACTTGTATTTTTCTTGTTCTTAAACCTCAAAAAAATGTTAGAACGAAATTTAGCGAAAATTAAGAGTTTATCGAAACTTGACTCGTACCAGCCATCCTCTGTTAATAACGATAACCTCGAAAAAGTTATAAAAACAGTGCTCCAAAATCGTGACGTTGACATCAGAGAGATGGCAGAAGATCTCAACATATCTTTTGGATCGACTCAACACATTTTGGTTAATGTTTTGGGTAGGAAGCATGTCAAATCTTTTGCAAAAACGACGTCGAGTATTGATCGCAAAAGAGTTGCTTGACAACATAGTAGAAGACCCCACATTCATCAAACGTATCAGAACTGGTGACGAGACTGTCCAACAATCTAATGAATGACGCTATAAAAATGATCCGAAAGAGAAAAAAGAAATATTAGCTGAGGGCAATGAAGGCCATCCGAGCCGAGGCGTATAACAAGTGTATGGAAGATTGGATTAAGCGTTGCCAGGCTTATATTGGCTCAGGAGCCCATTTTGTAGGCGATAAAAATATTTTTATAAAAATAAATGGAAATGTTTTTCTTTTTTGCCAGTTCGGGTTAAATGTATAATCAGATGGCATTAGCCGTTATGCACGCAATTCAGTTTTTAAACCGCTGGAGGTGAAGCTTCCAGGTTTGCAAAAGAACACCATATAACATACGGTTTGTTGCCTACATTTCGGCGCCTTTGCATTACAATTTAAAGCACTAAATAGAAGGTCAAATAGCTGTAAGTGCTTATAAATATTTTTTTTTATATGGGTAAATATCTTTCATAGATTTCGGAGTATAAATGATTGCTCTTATATTCTACGTTTACGACTTTCTTATATGTTTACTATAAAAGTCAATAGCGACATATTTATAGCATTTACGTTGAGAGATTTGTGTACGAGTTTACTACATATGTATGTATACAAATATACAACTACATCGCGTTAATAGGTATTTATGAAGGCATGAAATAAACCGCAGTTATGCACATATAGTATAGGACTATAGAAATGTGCTGCAAAACAAATGTACAACAGATGTGCAAATCGCTTAGCAATTTCCATTAATAGCTTTAGTTAGAACGGCAGATGAATCAGTTGTGCCTATAGACACACACACACACACACACACGAACTACAAATTTGCATTTGACATCGTCAATCATAGGTTGCCCGTTAGACGGACAATTGCCATTGTTTGGCGAGATGTGAATTATGTTAAGCTGGCGAATACTGAATGCTGACTAATGCAGAGCAGAATATAATTACAACAAAAAAGGCAACCGAAATAGTAGAAATCCCACATTTAGCAGCGATTAGAGGACATTTGCAGTGATTAACAATCGCTAAATGCTTATTTATGCATGTTTTTAGGATATTTGTATGTTTTAAGAAATGTATTTGTTGTTATTGTTGCTTGCATTAGCTTTTACAAGCAAAATGATAATAATTTAAATCAACCGACAGTGCTTTTAAAAGCAACAGCAACAACAACGACAATCTGCAGAACGCTTTAAATAATTGCCGACAATTGTGCGCTCTAATACCGTTGACCTCAACCATGAGGTGTACCGTTTGAATTTAATTGGTTTTTGCTAATGTTTTATTAAGCAATCGGATTAGATATAAATTCAATGTCAATAAAAGCGAATATTACACTTGAAATTGTGCATAATTTGACAAGTGAATGTATCATCGGCGGCAGACAGCGCGGCGCGACGTTTTAACGCCGTTGCACATACATATAATATCCACACGAATGCACATGCTCAATATGAAAAATCATAAAATTTCGATGATATGAAGAAAAAACAATTGTAAAAAAAATATATAAAAAAAAAATTATAACAAAAAATATAAAAAAAATATAAAAAAAATTATAAAAAAAATATAAAAAAAATATTAAATAAATATATGAAAAAAATATTTTAAAATCTATAAAAAAAAAAATGACAAAAATAATCCGCGAGTTGTTCTGATTTTGACACCTTTAAGAAAAAATTGAAGTGAGCCCATGCGTGTGTGCCCAGCGTCTAAGTAGGCCACATTAATGTATTTGCACGCATGTATGTATGTGTATGTTGTGGCGCTGTAAATAATACATGCAAATTACCGTAAAAATATACATCTCACATTAACTAAGCCAAAACTGTGTGCAGCAAGTGGGTCATTGCAGCCACAAACGGCAGGTAATTAATGCTAAACAGCTGCGCTGACTGAGACGGCCGATTGACGGACAGACAACAGACAATAAACGTGCTGCACCACAGTGACTGACCACTAGACAGCGCCGCCGAGTAACCTTGTCCTGGCTGGGATTTGGTTAAAACGCAAAAAAGTTTACGGGAAAAATTTTGCGGAAAAAATTGGAACTGCCGTTGTGCACATACAGTGTAGAGGAGACTTATTAGGAGCGGTTCAAATTACTTTGCTAATGAAGAGGTAGAATGTTTAGCTAAAATAATTGTAATGTGTTGATGTTTTTGTTATTGTAACGGTATAAAAAAGTTGCCAAGTTTAGGGGAAAACTGCCAAATTATGATAGTGGCCGCTATATACCCATTTACGCACCACCTTTTTTCTCAGTTAAAAAATGAAATCGTTTCCCCAAAGGAACGATATTAGTATAAAACAGGAAAAAATGTTAACTTCGTTTGCACCGAACTTAATTTTAATCGTTCAGTTGGTAAAGCAGTTATATGCTATAGTGGTCTCATATCGCGGTTCCGACATTGGAGCAATTTCTTGTAGAGAAATGAACGTGTTCAAAATTTCAGATCGAAATCTTGAAGACTGACTAGTTGGCGTATATGGCATGGCAGTTATATGCTATAGTGGTCTCATATCGCGGTTCCGACATTGGAGCAATTTCTTGTAGAGAAATGAACGTGTTCAAAATTTCAGATCGAAATCTTGAAGACTGACTAGTTGACGTATATGGCATAGCTGATCATTTATAGGTATATGTATAGATTTTATTGTGTCTCCGACGTTTCCTTCTAGGTGTTGCAAGCTTCGTGGCAAACTTAATAAATCCTGCTCCGGGTATAATGAATTACATTTTGCAGAATTAAATGGCACCAGGCGACCAAAATGCAGGACTGCGAACTTTTTACTTAAACAATTTTGGATTTTTAATTTCAATTTTGAAATTACGGTATCTGGGACTAAAATTTTTCAATTTAGTATTTATGATTATTAATTTTTCAAGCCGGTATTTGGGATTAGAAATTTGAAAATTGTTTTTCATTAAGATTTTGGAAATTTCAAAAAAAAAAATTATTTTGGGTGTTTTATTTTTTTAAGGGTTATTTGCAACCCTGCTAAAGTTTAAAAAATTGTTTCTGATTACTCTGCCGCCACTGTAGTTGTAAGTGCTTTTAAACAGCAACCTACGCAAATGTAGCCACAAATGCAAATTGCAGCAATCGAAGGTGTGACGCCATTGCGACGTAATTAGCTAAAGAAAATACTTTTTTTCTTTACTTTAGTTAAATAAATTTCACTTTTAATGTTTACCGCCCGTCGGAATGTGTATATATTGTCCGAAATTCGTGTGTTATGGATATACATATGTACTCGTATAAACACATTAAAATCAAGCATTTTAAGGCAATCAAAAGATACATTCCATAAATTCGATTTTATATGGTAGTAATAGACCCAAGTGCTGACTTAATTTCCGTGTAGATATTAATGTATAAATATACATTCGTATGGACCCTGGTATAACTCCGTGTTGCTGCTTACTGCACTATAGTTTAGCGTTCAGAAATGACAATTACACATGAATTTAAATTCCTTAAGTATAAAATGTAATCACTACAACATCATAATAATAAACAAATATTGGAAGATATATGTTCACCATAAATAAAGTGTCACTTTATAAGCAGAAAATATATTAAACATTTTCAAAGTTTGTTTTTCTTATTTTTAAAAATATTTCATACTAAAATTATCTTGTATACTGTTGTTGCCATTGTTGTAAATATTATTTATTATTGTAATGAACACCACATCATCAATTAGGAATATTTATGAGCATACTACTCACAAATATATACAATTATTTAGAGAAAAGTGCATTTTCTAAGTACTCACCTCCTTCTCCTTTTCTTTCTCTTCCGCATCGTTCGCTGAATCTTGCCGCTCTGGATCTAGCTCCTGTAAATACAAGCAAGAAAATAGAAAAATAAAATATTAAAAATTTCGAATTGTAAATTTCCGTATTTAAAATGCATAAAATTCATAAATTACAGCAATTAATCAAAGTCTAAATTGTGTGTACGTAAATACAACAGACGCCTAACGAATTGAAATACCCAATAAATTATAAAATACAAACAATTAGACATTTAGCCGACACTTGCTATTGTAAATTGTAATTGCGTTTTAAAATTTCATCTTTGGAATACTTACATTTTGCATATTTGAAAATCGAGACAAAGGTTAATTTTGGAATTTCAAAATTTATCTCTTCTAAGTGCTTTGTATGTCTGATATATAATCAATACTTCGAATAAATATATATTATGATTTAAAATAAGAACCAATATGCAAAATATAGGAATACAAGTGTAGAACTTTCTAAAGTAATAACTGTCAAATCAGCTGTCGGAGTAAAAATATGCGCTTGACGTTTATGTTTACTATACATTGCAAATACTCACCCTGGAAAACAGTTCAAAAATTGAGAAATAAAGGCATATTTCTTGCGTAATCGGAATGCGAAGAATCCTAAAACATTTTCCGCCTTCCTTTCGTCCAGGAAAAGTTTCTTACTAGTGTGGGTTACATAACCCCGCTATTACACTAGTTTACAGTCATTTAGCGACTGTGATGTTGAGAGGCTGTTTCTTGCTAATTTTGGGTTGCTAATGATAGCAAAAATTTCTTAACACGTGAGATTTTTTGTCTTGTAGTCATTTACTAAAATGTCAAGAATGTGATGGAAAATTTATGAACTCAAATTCGTAATCAGGACACCTCAAATACCCTCACAGACCTCTTAGCACATTAATAGCAAATTTTTCCCTCAGATTTGTTGAATAGTGTTATTAGACAACTTTTCAACCGAAGACGAAGCTAATGCTATACATACGAGTATTTGATAGAGAGTTGACTTGAGGCAGATGGCCGATTTGACTCTTTCCTATTCTTTCTGCAGGTACGTTAGATTGAAGTTGAGGAAGGCGACCTGTGGTATATTATCCCTTTTATGTGAGAGTACATAAAGTCAAGGGTCTATGCTGATAAAACAACTACGAATGACCAGTTGGAATTCACGTTTATGTCAACCGAACTGAACTGAGTCGGATTTATTTCTGGCGAAGGACTGTCGCTTCGTCAAATGAATTTGTATCTGTCTCAAAAACATGCTATGCTTGAGAGTGGTGAATTTCATGTGACGCACTCTCGCGGACTTGAAATTGTGATATAAAAACTAAATACCAAAAATTTTCGAACTAATAAAACTGAAATCTTGAAATTTTTTTTTTTTTTTGTTTTTATAATATTTTTTATATTAATTATAAAAACCACTGCACATATTCACGTCCACGTTGCATGAGTTTCGAAAAAAAAATCGAACGCGACTGTTATCGAAAATACTGATATTAAGTAATTGATATCGCCTAGAATATTTTCGGAAAAGTATTTTTAAAGAATTACATCACCAATTACCGTTAACTACTTTAATAATTAAATAGTTACTTACATCCATATCGATATGCACAACGCCGGTGGATCTTCGTTTTGGTTTTCTTCTTCGTTGTATAGCCGATTGAGCAGCCAAATTGCGATTATCATTTTCTTTGTCATTATCTAAACAAAAATGGAATAGTTGAAAGAGGGAAACAAGAAAAAAAAACAATGACAAAACAGCATTACCTTTATCGTCATTAGTTTTAGACGTCGAAATAGCCGTAGCGGCTGTGACATTAGCTGTTGTTGTGGATGCAGTAGACGTTGTCGTGGTAGCTGCTGGGGTTGTGGCGCTGCTTCCACCGGTGAGTCGTCGGCCGAAAATGCTAACACCCTCGTTGTGAGTATCATTGCTAAGTAATGTGGTGGATGTGGTGGCATTGACTGGTGCGGACACAGGTCGTCCAATTGAATTCAACGATTGATTTGACGAGTTTACTGTAAGGAAATGAAAAATTCATTGTGTATTTGTAAAAATGCTGATATATTTAAAAGCTTTGTCTATATGTATCACTTATGGCAACTTACGTGAATTGCTGTTGATGCGCCGTTGTGATATGGTTGACGATAAATTGGCAGCGGCAATAACAGCTGGCGCGCTCGGTATAATTGTGCTGTTATTTGGCGGAAATGTATTCCCACTCGATGCATCTTCCAATTTGAACTAAATTTTGAATTATCGAAAAATTGTTTGTATTAATAATTACACCTATGACATTGGCTTGCATCCTATGTTTGTTTGTATGTTTATATGTCAAAATAAGGCTACAGCAAAATGTGTCCTGATTGTGTCGATAGCTCGAAACCGCACGTTAATACAGGGTATTTATGTAAGTAATCAAATACTTAAGCTGGGTGGTAAACGTTCTACGTCACAATTAGGTATGTGTTGTAGGTATGTTTGCAGGTACATAAATCGGGTACACCAAAGCACAGAACAATTTACGGATAAGCGTGTCAAGAACACATCTACAGGTTGCGGGAATGTTCTTTTCTACTAATTTTTTCTTTTTTTTTCAAATTTTCAAAACTGAATTTTTCTAGTTTACAAATTTAACTTGTAAGTTTTGTTTTCAGTGTAAAAATATATATATTTTTTTACCAAAACCATATTAACGATTAAAAATTATTAATTTTTTGTTTAGTGTAATGCGAGTATTCATGAAAATAATAAGTATTCGTGTTACGTGTTAAATACAAGAAAACATATTTAATTTGAATTTATCTGGCGTAAACCTAAAATTTTATAATACTTTTTTTTATTAGTTTAGAGACGTCAAATAAGCTCCTAGAAGTATGCAATCGAAGTTAAGTTTTATTTACATAACAGGCATTTTAAAGTAAATAATTTTAAAATATTTAATAACAAGTGACTAATTATTGAACCAAATATGTCAGAATATGATCGAGGTTGAAACCCACAACCTAAAACAGCAGACCTCACGCCTGTCTTCTGCCAAAATCAGAAAGAGTGGTTAATTGGAAAAGTGAGGTTAAGTCCCTCGAGTTAACTTATCGATTTAATGAATAAAAATTAGTCCAAAAATAGTTTTTTGAAAAAAAAATAATTCACAAAAATTACTATAGTAGTCGCTAACACTATTTTTCAGTCATAAACTCACCTCACTGGTTAGTCTTTTTTTACCAACATCTTGGGGAAAAATTTCAAAGTGGTAAATATATAAAGTGTACACACTCGGATCGTATTGAGCGAATAAAGATAGTATTCTCGAAAGATTGGAGACATGTTTTAGGATGTCAGAGCTATTACCATCTGATCAAATATAACCCGGACTAGTCCATATACCATAAACTGCGTGGACAAACCGACCATGGCAAAAAATTTAATGAATTTGCTTCAAGTTTTGTGTTTCCAATGGAATCACGCCTACGGAATCGTTAAAAATATCGCGAAGTGTTTTGGGGTGTCGCTTTATCATGAGCATATGCCTTTGAGGGGCACGAAGCATTCAGTGAAGGTCGTGAAGTCATCGAAAACTTGCCTTTTGCCAGCCGTCCATCACAAAAGAGAGCTTGACAACATAGCTAAGAAAGTTTATATATATGACGTCGAAACTGTCGTAGCGATCTAGCGATTGGCGCTCCGAATCGCTGAAGACACTGAAGGTCATCCCAGCCGAGGCTTTTAACAAGTGTATAGAAAATTGGATAAAGCATTGACATGATTATATTGGCACAGGAGCCTATTTTGAAAGGGATAATTAAGATTTGTATACAAATACGAGAAAATATGAATAATGCTGTGAGTCCGGTTCAAATTTGAACAGATTGTAAGTTAAGTTAAATACCGTGTTTATTTCTATTTCTTGATCGCAATACGCTAACCTAAATTAGATCAATAATAGTCAGAATTGGCAAAAGTTTGTATGGCATTGACAGCAGAATGGTGGGCTTCTTTGATAAGGCGAGAGATAGTATGGGGTAGAAATTAAATTTAAAAAAAAAAACCATTTCCCGCATGTATAATAAACGTTTGTATCACATTCAGAATAAATTAGAAATAAGGTTATATTTGGAATATCATTTCATGGCCGTACTTAAGGAAACGGCTTCTCCTCACGATATCATTTGTCAAAAATATTTCTGTAAATGTTTACGCTATTACAAAAACAATATCAAGATCTCGTAAGTTTTAAATTACTAAACGAACAACCATAATCATTTTTCAAACATTTTTGATTTCAATGTGGCTCAAAACCACTTTCAGTTCTTTTCTTTTGTTTATTCTAAAGATATACTTAATATCCAAACAATTTTAAAAACTTTTATAGAACAAAATCTCACAAATTATACCAGATGAGAGAAAAAAACACTCCCGCAGAAACGCACTAACAAAATGGGTGTGGACACTTGCTCTCTAGTTCCTTAAATCAAAGTGCTAAATACAAACAGAAATTATGACACTGGACGTAACTTTATCGCTGTTTTATACCCAACACTTACACACTTTAAATTTTTTTTTAATTTATACAGTTGGAATACTAATAATTAGTTGAAGCTTTTTACAAATCGAATTTTAGGCACAGATGGCAACGATAAGATGCATGTGTTGGCAAAAAAGCAGCAAGGTGTTTTAATGGAAAAGCAGAAAAATGTGAGTACATAAATTGATGAGTGAGTAGTTGTGCAAATTACAATTACAATTACATACATATACACGTTAATCTATAATTAGGCGGGTTGTGGGCGCTTAGTAGGCTACACAAGTTAAGGTTGATGTAGACATGTATAATATTATATAAGAGTTAAATATTAATTTTCTTTTTTAACAAAATTATTTTCATTAAGACATTAATGAGTAAAGCAACAGCAATTAGTGGTGGCAACAACAATAAGATGATGAAAGTAGGCATGAGTAGAATAGGCTATGTGAAAGATAGGATTTACTGATCTACTTGTTTTATATTAGTTTTACATTAAAAGCTACTAACTACTTCCAATTACTTGTCACTTTAGGTATAAATACGGGCAATAAAAAATTATTAGCTAGTTTTTACAAAAGGTATATAAAATTAATAAAGAAAAAATTAATATTATTAATTAAGTGTATATAAAATTAAATTATGGTTTCAATGTTAAAAATAAGTAATTTTGATATTAGGAAATAATTAAACTTAATGTTAAACGTGAAATATTTATACAAATTTTGAATTACAATCAGTAATTTAGTGCATTGTAAACACTTTCTGTTCTAATATATAAATTATTATTATTTAATGTTTGAGAAAATTTTCAATATTGAATAAAAATATACCAAAAATTATGTCCTTTTTTTTTTTGGTATATTATTGACCATGTTAGATTTAATATATCTCTTTTTCATTTTAATTATATACAAAATTATAATATTTACAACAAATTTTTTGTTTTTAATTGTAATTTTTTATATATTTAAGAGGTTATAGCCATTTTGGGAATTTCAAAAAATCGATTTTTTTATTTGCATATATATTATATTTAACGTACAATGTATTTGAGAATAATCTCCGAAACGGTGATATACCATAAGCGCATTTATAAGAATTTTAACTTATTACACTAAGTAATCCCAAAACTTTAAACTTTTTCTCGAAACGCCGTTTTCGGAGTCGATGACTAAAATTTCCCCGAAACGGCTGGACCGGTGCAGTTGAAATTTCAACAGGACCTTCTTAGATATATTTGTCAGGTCGGTCAGGTCGAAGCAATCAAATTTTTGATAATAATTTCGATTTTTCAAACCACTCTGAAATCTAAGTTTTTCACAAAAATTTACTTTTTTTCTCTATTGTAATAATACAATTTTTTGGTTTTTGGATTTGAGCTAATTTTAAGTAGAAAAATTTTTCACACCGCTAGACACCTTTTTACGAAAGTCTTCCTATATACGTTATAGAATCAAGGGTATCCAAAATGTGTGAAAATAAGTTTTTAAAGTACAATAAATTCTGTAAATTTACTGTTATGAATTATTATATTAAATGAAATGATTTCAAAAAACTAAAAAATAAAACGCATTTGTTCTGACCTGTAAGTGGATATAACCATAACCCCTTAAATATTTGATTATAAATTTGTCGAAATTTTCAATATATATGATAAATCTTAAAATTCTGTTTGCTTTTTTAATTTATTATAATTACTTTTTATTTAATTATTTTTATTTATTTAATTAATTTTTTTTAAAATAAATTTTATAAAATTAAACTTTTTCTTGTAAAATTTTTTTATAAAATTTATATTTTCTTGTTAAGAAATTTGCTAAAATTTATGTATAAAAAATAAAATGCAACTTTTTTCTTTCTTATAAACAAATAAACAATTTATATAACATTTCACAGTTATGCGAGTAATCCGAGTACCAAAAAATATGTTAATTAAATTTTTAAATATAAATTATTATTATTTTTTATGGTCATAATTGGTTATTTTATATAAGTAAAGTGTAATCAAGAGTTTACATTTATGTATTCATGACTGTCTGTATGTAAATATGCTCGGCTTTGGAGCATTTTCTTTTGTCTTTTTCAATGCATATAAAGAAAACCGAAAAAGCTTTGTGTTTCGTGTTGGCAATGCTGGTGTTGATACTTGATTTTTGACTTTTAATGGTTTGGTGGTTGGTGAAGGCACTACTAACAACAATAACACTATAATATACAATGCATATAAGTTAAAATATATGCTTTTACTTCCCCTCTTGCACTTTCTAATATAATTCATAACAAATGGCGTATTTTTCTACCAAACATTTGTACAAAAAGTTGAATTTTTTCTCTCTTTTTTTATTTTAACTACGAACAGGACAAACGAACGTACGCGTGTTGCACAATCGACGACGTAAGAGTCGACAAACATTTTGGGTTGGTCTATTTGGTGGGTACTTTGAATTTTTAAAAATCGTTTTTTTGTTTTGTTTTTTTGTTTTGTACTATAGGGTCGTACAACAATGCATTACCTTACAGCCAGCATCGAATTTCAAACGCCAAGAAGGACGTCGCTCAGCCATTGTACTACTATTGCTACTGTTGCTGCTACTCGGCGCCGTCGCTGTAGTTGTAGTTGCCACAAACGCTGTACCGCTGCTACCACTACAACTACTAATACTACCGATGGCACTTTGTATGTTATTGATTTCATTTGACGTCGCCTGAGTTGCTTGACTCTCATTCTGGCCGTGCAATGACAGTGAGGACGAGTCCAAGCTGCGACGACTGCTAAGTGAAATTTTACCGTAATTTGTTGAAAGTTCATTAATGTCAACGGCATCACTTGCCAGTGACGCTGGTGGTAGTAAGCGTGTTTTACTAGCGACTGTCGACGATGACGATGACTCGTCACTATCGCCGACAGCGCTGTATTTACTCGCTTCGTAACGTAAGCGTTCGGCCAACGTTAAGGCGCTGTTGCTGTCGGGTTCATAAGGTATACGCTTTTCGCGCAAGCGCACAGGACTATCGAGTGTAGGCGTATTTGCGCTCGTGCTGGTAGGCGTGGTCGGTGTAGCATCTGTGGCATGCGCCACACTGCTTGACGCCACGTCAACCAGTGGCAATGGAATTAATGTGTTAAGGCGTGCACGTTCCGTTTGTGTAATTAATGTATCGGCTGAGTTGTTGGCCGTGGATATGTGTGATTTAGGAGCGCTTATTTCATCAGTCGCCAACTCTTTGGTGGCAGAGTTTTCAGTCTTTTCATTTTCAAACTCGTTAATTTCAAAAGTTTCACTATCTTCTGATTCCACATCTTCTTCGGCGTCTACCGCCTTTTCGTCGTTCACTTCTTCTTCATTGTCTGCCTCTAGCTCGGTCTGTTCATCTTCGGCCTTGCTTAAATTTTCTATTTCTGTCGCCTCTTCGTTCTGCTGTTCAGACTCGCTCGACTCATCCTCATTCTCATTCTCAATGTCATCATCAATCTCAGGCTTGTTCGCACTCTCAGGCACATTCTCATACTCTATCTCATCTGTAACGAATTTTTTTCGTACTGTTTCGCTATCTACATCACTTTCATTGATTATTAGTTCTGGTGGTGTGAGCACTATCGTCGTTTCCACAGTTTCGGTGGGTGCAGCGCTGCCGACAAACGAATGACGCGGTGTCAACGTGTATGTGGCACTCACCTCTTCATCGTTATCATCGGTTGTTGTTGCATCATCTGTTGTGGTATCATCTAGCATTGTTGCCTTCGTACTAGAATTTTTTCTAGTTGGCGCCACAATTGTGAAAGAGGCGGAAACATCTTCGCCATCATTATCCACAGCAGATTCATCATCCTGCTGATCGCACTCTTTCTCTTCCTCTTCCTCCTTATCACTCTCCTCTGCTGACGTGCAATCGGCCTGTTGCTCTGCGACTGGTGTTTCATCGCCATCCGCGGTTTGTCTCTGCGACGCTTGCGCCGATGCTGTGGGTGGCAGCGTTTGTGTGGCAGCTACTGACGGTTCTGTGTGCGGCGGCTCAATAGCTTCAACTTCTTGTTGTTGTTGTTGTTCTGATGTTGTTGGAATTGTTGCTGCTATTGTTGTAGCTACTTGCGTTTCATTCTGTTAATAATTTTGGTTTTTAGTTCAACGAAAACATATTTGCTATTGGGTTGTTGTAAGTGTTATATGTATGTATGTAGTGTACGGTAAATTTGCGCTACATATGTAGTAGGTAATTCTAAATAAAAAGTTCTATGTTTGACAAAAATTCAAAATACAATGCTACCGCATTTGCTCATACACTATAATATTGCATTTGTAATGGCGTTTTGACGCGTTCATCAAAAAGTTGACAAATGCAAAAATAGTAATTTTTTACAAAATATTTTTATATAATTTTACAATAAAATGTTCATGCAAATTCAATATTGCAACTCATGCAAACGCACAAAAATAATATTCGCCACTAAATGACGACAAAAAACCTTCGCAATGCTTATTCGTGAGATTTCGTTTTCGGAGGTTGCATTTGACGATTACCTCGTGAGGTGTGGCCAAGTCGTTGTTACTTTCAAAACACGTAATATTTGATTTTGTTTGTTTTAACTTGCTTCTTTTAAGATTTTTGCTCAATTTTATAGATATTGGTGTTAAAAACATTGCAAATTTATATAAGGGAACAGTTATTTTTTACAGCTTGCAAAAGAACACTTTTAAAAATATCTGCAATTACGATAAATATTGCTTTCTCGCGATTTTTTCGAAATATTCGTACTAAATGAAAATGACGCTGAACATTTTTTCTAACATTTTTTAATACTAATCTGGCGTATTGAAAGCAAACTAAACCAAAGGCAACCTAGTTTTAGTTTAAATCATTATGAAAAAAATTAATTTCAATTAGTAATTAAATGTTTCAACATAAAATACATATTATGAAAATATCATTATGTTCGAAAAACTTATGTTTGAAAAATATAAAAATATACAAAATAGAGTGTTTTTTAATCTTAAATTACTTTCTACTTCGACTTTTAAAGAAACGACTTTTGATGGTTTCAAACTATATTTCCAAGTTTTAATAGTCAAAAACATTGTTTTCAAAGTTATTAGCGTATTTTTTAATTTCAAGTAATTTTCGCAAATAATCTTAGTTTTTTTCTAACTTTGCGCCTAATTGTAGGCAATGTTTTTTTTTCAATAACTAAATGCTGATATACCTTTTAGTTGAGCCTGCCGATCAAGAAAATATGATCGAGGAGATTTATAACAAATCGCAACTTTAAAATTAAACCACACAATTTAAAAACGAAATCTCATTTTCGAATACTTGCAATAACAATAATCATATATAATATAAAAACATATTTACGACTACTGCATAGATTTACAAACTGTCATAAAGTCTATGGTTCATTTTGTAGTCATATTTTTGAATCAGCTAATCAAAAACAGGGTGTGTCATCTGTTATATTGGTAGGAAACTATTCCATAACTTTGCAATTTTCTTTCCATTACATATTGACAGTAGTTGGACCATGTTTTGGTAACCTCAATTGAATATAATTCTAATAGAATAATAGTGACTTTTTACATTGAAAATAAAAGCTCAGTTGTATTAAATCAAATTTTTACGGTCAGGCGGCGTTAAAAAGAAATTTTATTTTATTTGGTGAACAAAAGATCCATTCAAAGTCCACGAAATCACATTTGATAATCTACAAAGTAACTGTTCCAAAGCGTTCCAGCTTATACTACTATATTTTTTTTTCAAACAAAATGAAAACGTTTATGGTGACATCAATGTGTGTGAGACAGTGCGCCATATTAGCTTCTGGAAGAAAATGCTCTGGATGTTTGATGGCAAAAAGAGAAGAAATTGACATGCCACCCAGATCTCCAGATTGGACTCCCTCGGCCTTATTTTATGCGGTTATTGCAATATGCCATACAGTTTCGAGCCATTGACGAACCAAAGTTAAACATTCGTGTAGAAATCATTATAGTTGAAATAAATTGGGCAGTCAAATACAGTAAAAAAATATATCAGATATTAAGGAGTTTGCTTTCTATATTTATCCCAAAAATTAGTCATTGTTTTCAAACGGCATAAAAGATGACGCACCCTGTATAAAATTCAAATATATTGTACAATTAAGACTTTAAGACACCTTGTGAATCAACTAAATATTGAATATCAAATACTTTTTAGAAAAATATAATTACATATGTTTGTAAATACACGAGTATAAGTGTACTAATATCAAATATTATTTAAGTTATGGCATTCCTCATTATATATACAAAGTTTACTTGCATAAAATAACTGTTTATTATAACATTTTATACATAACTTAGAAGTAAATTGAATAAAAAAGACACTAAAATACGACTATGCAATACAAAACGACATTTTCCTTAAACGATTACAAAAGTGCTGCCTAAGTGACTAATTCAATTCAGTTAGCTTTAAGTAGTTAAAGATAGAAGTAAAGTTTGAAAGGCGCGAGTGTGTGTAATCCTGTGCAGATGATCTCACAAAGACATATTTAGATGCGATTAGGAAGTATCGGCGGCGGTTGCTGTCAGATGCTGCTTCGTTTAAGCGTTTATGCAAACTTCTTTAAATTTATGATTATTTTGTTTAACTAATGCTGAATACTTGTGAGCACGTTACGCTCGCATTGTTTCCTTTTTTTATTATTTTATTTATTTACTTATTTATTCTTTACTTTTTTTTTTGGTTAATGGCACGTTTAGCGCAAACTAAAACAAACAGCGCAATAATTAAAGCGTCAAAATGCACGAGAAATGCGATTTCTTTTACAAAAACAAAAAAAAAATTGTATATTTATATGTATGTATTGCCATGTACTGTAGATTTAATGCGTAAACGTTGATTTTTCTGCATATTACAATCTTCTCTTCTGTTTGCCCTGCTGTACTAGTATATACTATATATACATATATGATATGTATGTATGTACATATATATAATATGTATGTTGTTTTGGAGATAATTATTTGATTTTACATTATTTGAAACAACGAAAATCAATACCGCAACACCGTCAGATAATAGTAGTTCCAAAGCCTAGGTGGTGGTGGGTGGCCACAAATCCAAATAGTGAGGGGGGTGAGATATAGTGAGTGAGATTTGAAGTGTACAAGTGGATTGTGGTGGATTACATTTGGTTTGGTGATTGCTTGGTTGGATTGGGTGATTGTAATGATAATTGTATTTGGTGGTACTACGATTAATTGATTATCAAAAAACCAACAAACGATAATTTATATATTATATATAATATTATAACCTTAAATTCATTTTTAATAACATTAATAAATATGTATAACAGCACCGCTTCCAGAAGCAATTTTTAATGTTATTTTAAATTTCAATACGTGGAGTATTGACTGTAACCAGCAACAACAACATGTTTGCTCATGATAGCTAATAGTACACAAGTATATTAATTTTAGATGAGTTTTGGCAATTGAAAGTTGCAGTGGTTAACTGAATTCATTTGTGGTGGATATGGTGAAATTGGTGGTTGTGGTGGTGGTGGAAATGGTGGTAACTTTCTGGTGACACAAACACCGGCGGGACATTGTACGTGACAAGATGATAGTTGTCGTGGTTGATTTTGACTGTTGTTCAATTTCACACAAAAATACAGTTATACAATTGACAAGAACTGCATGACAAATAACGGATGTTTACAATATTTCTTTTTTTTTTTTGACATTTTTCATTTTGTGTAGTAATGGTATTATATTATATGGCATATGTTTGTAAGTATGTATGTATGTATTGATATATAGCCTAAATGCTTTTATTTAGTAAATAATAGCAATATATAAATATAAATGTATTCACTTTTAATTGCTATCATCATAAGTTTGACGTTATAATTTGGACAATTCTCCTTTTAATTGTGTACTTACGCTGCTGCTGTTATTGTTGTTGTTCATATTTGAATTTTTCTTCTTGACCAACTCTTCGGCGCTCTTGATTTCGTCCAACGTGACGCCCTGTGTAGAGCGACGCGTCTCACGCACACGTTTGGCGTGTGCCTTACGCTGAGTTTCGCTCTCCTCGTCACGCACGGGTGGCACAAAGGATCTGCAAGTGTGGTGGAGAGTTGTTGCATTAATAGAAATTATATTATGTAGTTTTTCTTTTAATATTTTTTAGATGAGTAGTGGGCTTGTTTAGAAGAACAAATAAGAGCGATCATGCAAGGCGTAGTATTGACGCTTAATGGTGTGAGTACAAAGAAGGCGCATCGTTTTTATTTTGTAAAAAAAAACACAACGGAGTCGTATTTTAGTTTTATATTTTTACGAATTTGTAGTGTTATTATCGAACATAATTCCTATTTAGTTTAAAAAAAAAGAGGGGTAATTGACGATCGAGATCAAAAAAAAAAAAAAAACCTTAACTTCGGCTACAGCGAAGCTATAACGTCCCTATAGATGCATTTCTTATAGCATAAAAGGGTAAAAACAGATATTTATCTTGATTTTGATTGCTTAGCTTGTATGTCAGCTTTATGCTATAGTTGTCCGTTCTGAACAATTTTTTTGTAGCTGGGGCAGCGCTACCTGGACATTATCTATGCCAAATTTCGTAAAGATATATTATTAAATAAAAAAATTTTCTATACAAGGACTTGATTTTTATCGATCAGTTTGTAGGGTAGCTATATGTTATAGTGGTCCGATATCGGCGGTTTCGACAAATAAGCAGCTCCTTGGCGAGAAAACGACATGTGCAAAATTTCAGAGCGATATCTCGAAAACTGAGACTAGGTCGCGGTCAGTAGAACATGGATAAATCGACTCAGCTCGTCACGCTGATCAGTTATATACTTGTACATATATATATATTATTTGGTCTTCGATGTTTCCTTCTGGATGTTGCAACATGTGTGGCAAAGTTAACATACCATGTTCAGGCTATAAAATAGTGAGAACCGAGCCGAGTCGAAATCAGCAAACCAAGCAACGTAATAAAGGTTTCATAGTTTCTTTCAAAAGAAAAAAACGCATACTTTTTATTTAATTCTAAAAAACATTCATATAAGTTTACAATCTCGAATCGAAATTGAATGGTATTCCGGCTTCTAAATTTCCTTAAAATAAAATAACATTGTGGACCCATGGAGAAAATTGATGAAATTCTGGAGAAACTACTATTTTGATATAATGATTCAGCAAATAACATTTTAAGAGGTAGGTCATATTTCATACAAAAATGTATTCTCTCGGTTCTACGCAGAAATATTGAAGAATTGCTCGCAGACATTCTTATCATCAAACCGATTATTCCAAATATAATTTGTTCTGCAAAAAAAAGTTAACCACTATGTATAGCTAAGACTCGAGGAGTTTCCGAACCGTTGAAACGAACCGAACCTGCGTTTACGAATCAACTAAAATATAATTATAAATGTTTAAAAGAAAAAAGTCATAAAATCATATTTACATTATACAAAATATTAATTCCTTAATTTAAAACTTTCTACACGGCAAGCTAGAGCAACGATTAGAAGGCAGTGTGCAAAAAAATAATTGAAAAATAAAAAGATTCGCGGAACATAGTAATAAACAAAAAACATAAAAAATAAGGAGCGAAACATTAGCAGCGCATAAAAAAATTGTAAAAAAGTTAAAACAACAGCAAAACAAATGCAGCGCAAAAATCTGCCACGACGATAAAGCAAAATATTTACTTGAAGAAATTTTTGAAAATAGTGCCGGCTGACATTTTCTGCTTTGCGGCGACAGTAGTAGTTGGTGCAGCTGCATCAGGAGTAGATGATGTTGGCTGTTTAGTGTCACTATTATTATTATTATTATTATTGTTGTTATTGGCAGTGATTGTATTATTGACATTTGTATTATTATCATTGTTGTTGTTATTTTTATTGTTGCTGTTGGTGCTGGTAGCACTTGTAGCACCTTTGCCACTATTTTGTGCACTATGAAGGGGGGGAAACCATGATGTTGATAAGAAATTATAAAAAATTAACAGATTGAGGAAAAAAGAAAGTATGATAACTTTTATAAACAAAATAAAAAAATAGTCAAATAACTTCATGAGCAAAGAAAGACAATCAAAAGCAGACTTCACATGGTGACTAAGACAGCTGCTTCTGTTGCTATTTTTCTTTATTTATATATTTTTTTTTTATTTTTTTTTTTTTGATAAAAAATGTTTTGAATGCATTATCGACTCACCTGCGTATCGGTGTAGTGGTTGTAGTTGTCGATGGTGTGGTGGTGGTGGTGCTGCCGGTTGTCGTTATTGACGTAGTCGAATCAGCTGTTGTTGGTGTGCTTGTTGTGTACGCCGTCGTTATCGATGTGGACGACGTGTTCGTCGAAATGGTTCTGCGTTAGAAATAAATAAATATGTTTTGAAAAATTACAAGCAATTTTTAAAGAAAAATTTTAGTAAGATTTGCTATATATATATATACAATAAATTTTTCACACACATATTTAATAATGATTATTAAAAATGAATTAAATTATAGCTGAGAAGAAAGCACAAACGTAACAGATGAATGACTAAGCGAACATATTTTTTGATTGAATTTTTTCAAACTTTTTTTTTGATTTTTTTCTTTAAATTTTTTTTTAATTTTTTCAATGTTTTTTTCTTTTAACTTTTTTTTGTTAATTTTATGAAATAATTTTTTTTTTAATTTTGTTAATTTTTTTTTTTATAAAAATTGAAATGAAAGCAAATTAACAAACCTGTAATTTCTATGATCTTTGAGTGATGCCGATCTTTGTACCGAATAATTTGGAATGGGCGTGTAAACGTTGCCTAATGCGCTTGTGGGATTATTGATAATGTTGGTGTTGATGTTACTTTTACTGTTATTAATATTGTTACTGTTATTGCTATTATTATTGATGTTGTTATTGCTATTGCTACTGTTGCTATTGTTATTTTGGCTATTACTGTTACTACTGTTGTTACTATTATTGAGTTGTTGTTGCTTGGCCGGCAATATGGGGCATGAATTGGCTTTTATGCGTGCGCGTAACTCATGATATTTTTGATAGAATCTGCACATTGTTTGCATTCATTTTAATTTAATTATACATTTTTTTTTGATTTTGCGTAATTCAAGCATTTGTGTATGCGTTTTTATTTCCAATTCATTAACAACCAAAAGCATTATTTTGAGTTATTTTTTTGCATTTAAATTTATGCAGCATTTATATTTGATTTTGTTTATTTTGTTGTTGTTGTGATTGTTAGCAGGACGATTTGTGGTTGTTGAATGGTGATTGGTGAAGGTGTTGGTTGTGGTTGTGAGAGTAGTAGTAATGGTGGTTTGTGGTTGTGGTTTGATGATGTTTTTTGTTTGAAATTTTTTTTTGTTTGTTTGAAGTGAGTATGCAAAAAATAATAAACAAATTAAATTTTTATATTAGTAATTTGGTCACAAATCATTTAAAAAATAAACAATTTACAATTTTCATATTTTCAATAATACAAAAAAAAAAACATTATTATGTTTGTGTATGTGATACGTTGTCATAAACACATGTACCTATACATATGTACATACTATACGTTTATCAAATTTGACTCAAACTGGGCCATTTAAACTACGCGCGAAACCGAATCGTTAAAATTCATGTTTTTTTTTTTTTGTAAAACCCTGGTCTGTCCGGATCGAATTTGATCACATAGTATGTAGGTATAAGCAACACACGAAAAATACCTTAAAAACTTTTAATAAACGCGCTTGCTTAAACCCGCACGAATGCACATTTGAAACTACTGTCTTGAATTATTTTTGTTACCACATGGAAATAGCGCTTCTCAACTGTATTGCCGATAAGCAGCGATATCTGTGCGAATGTTTCAATTACTCGCTACAATTGTTTGCAATCTTATCTCAATTTCGACAAAAGTTTGAGTATAAATTATTTAATAGAAAATAAGGTAACTAGGAATTCCAGATAATAAAATAAATATCAACGCATGTTCTTACTCATACAGAGTGGTACGTGTCAGTATAAATGAAAAACCTTTGTTGCGTAATAGCAAATAAAAAGTGTTTGAAACGTGCTTGAGAGCAATTTGCAAACCGGATTTTCACGGCACATGTTTTTGTTGTTGTCTCAGCGGCATAAAGCATTTTCCAAATAAATTTGAGGTATGTTGATGAGTTTACAGTATATAAACCCAGGTTCGTTTTGGCTACGTAGACTCGATTGTGAAAGAAACAGAGCCCACTGATGAAGTGCCGAAACAATTCCCACAACAGCCGGTTCTACGTTACCGGAATTGACTCGGATTTTATCCGACTAAGAGCTGTTATTTCGACGATTAATCTCTGTTTCGGTCGGTAATTTTTTTTTTTTTTAAATACCTTTACTTAAGTGAGAATAATTGAACCGAAAAAGCGAAAGTTAACTAGTCGTTATGTATAATACCAAAAATAAATTTATCAATAACTAATAAAATCTTATAAAATTCGTTATAATTCTAACTGAACTAATTGAATTTTCAAATATGTCTTATTATGGTTGTAAAAGAGAGTTCAGATTCGAAGACTTTTGTAGTCCAAACTGGTTTTTTGTTGTCGACAAGGAAAAAACGAAGGAACCGAGTGACTCAGGCAATACGCTTTATTCAATCTGTATGTAAATATCCATAGCATAATGGAAATACTTTATAAAAGGCTAAACAAGGATAAAAATTTAATTATTATTTGTGAAAAATATGTTTGTACACTGCGTACATGAAGCTCACAAGAATTTTAAAATTTTATATGAAAAGGAATGCAGAAAGTTGTCCGATAATGAGCAAAAAAAGTCTTCGCGTGTAAACTCGGTCTAACATTTCAGAGATTACACACTCTATTCTTCACCTACATATTCTTCAACTATAATGTTTATGTAATTCTCTAAATGAAGTGAATGCATAAATGAAAAGCAATTCATGACTGAAAATGAACATATGCTCTGGTTTAAAATTTAGCAACTTATATATCATATATGTACATATATACTTACACATATAAGTACATAAACAAAAAAAAATGTACGCATGAATTAAAAAAATTTTAAATATGAAAAGCAACTCTATACACATACACAAACACAAACTATGAACAAAAAATTTCAATTAATTTTACCAAAGATAATAAATAACTTGCAAATAACCATAATATGTGCCTAAAAAATTAATAACTAATTAACTTATATTTAGCCACCATAAGTGGACGCTTTTGTTACTCACTTCTCGTCATGCTCAAAGCTCTGAGTGCGTCTTAAAATAACATCTGATGTCTCTGTGGTGTTGTTAGTTTTACTAACATCTTTTTCAGGAACTTCTAAAAAACGTAAAAACAGAAAAAAGCGTCATTAATGTTACGCATAACCGTTATAAGGTATAACTTACGAATTTTCGTTGGACTTTCATTTTGTGTGCGCGCTCTTGCCAAGCTGTTGCGTCGCCATGGCGCTTCATCCTCAACCGTTTGGTTGTCTGTTGTAGCAACGGCGGATGGTTTGACGGTTTCATGCGATTGTTTTGACTTTTCATCTGCAATAAAGTTAGGTTTTATAATAATGCTGAGTTTGAAAAGTGAAATTAATGTCAAGAAAGGAGAATTTTTATTTTAAAAGCGGCAAAAAAAAAATAAATTATAATATCTCAAACATTTAGAGTGGAACGCAACGGTATAAACGATATTCAGATTTTCTTTATAGAAAAAGAGTGTCACCTTTAAGTCAAATTAATATTAAAAATAGTACAAAAACAACACAAATAAGTTTTATCAACGCCAGTCACAGTTATAGTCAAAGTCAAAACGAGTTATAGGCCAAAATATGTAAATAATGCTAAATATAATCAACCTCACATACATACAAACATACAAAACCAAGTTCAAACTATAAAAGGAATATATAACTCCCTACAGCACTCCCGCAACATAGTGGTGGTAATGCTGTAGTACTACAAAACAAAAATAAACACACATACACACGCATTCACCAAAGATACCTTCAGGTTCAGATAGGCTGGTCGAGTGTGAGCTCTCTGTTGAGTCGGTGAGTTCAGAGTCAGTTTCATCATACTCAGCTATGCGTGCTAGATTATGAGGTTCCAGCTGATCACTACTATCAATCATTGGCAGTTCATTTTCGTTTATGGAAGCTGTTAGGCAAACATATGTATATACAAGAAACGCATTTTTGACGGCACACAATGGACACGATGAGCCAGGTGGTAATGTCGGAAATGGCAACCGAAGAATTCACAGTCATTCATGTATAATTGGGAATAATGCAATACAAAATGTACATATGTATGTAAATAACTATGATATATTCGTAAGAGTTAAAGGTTTTCGTGTAGAAAATGCCAACGAATGCAAAGTTAAAATGTTAAAAAAAAAATAATAATAATTTCTGTATATGGTAAAATGGCAGTGCGAATGTACAACTCAAGAGTTTGACAGAAGAACTAATTTTTTAATTGTATATATAAAATTTAAACTGGAGACAGTTAAGTTGGTGCACAAAAAATGAAGTTTCTTAACGACCATGTGAACCTAAAGAATTGTAAGTAACAATGAAAATGAAAACCACAAACAAAAACAGCAACAAACAACGGGAATGAACAATAAAAAAAATTGATTTAAGAAAATATTAGTTTATAGTAATTAAAAAAATTATTTTAAAACAAAAAAAATTAAACTTAACTTCGGCTGCACCGAAGCTTTATTACCCTTCACAGGTGAATTTCTAGCATAAAAGGGTATAAAAAGATTTTTATCTGGATTTTGATCAATCAGTATGACAGCTATATGCTACAGTGGACCGATCTGAACAATCGGAGATTGTAGCGTTGCCTTGGACAATGTTCCATGTCAAATTTCGTCAAGATATCTTGTCAAATCAGTTTGTATGACTGCTATATAATATAGTGGTCCAATATCGGCGGTTTCGATGGGTAGCCTCTTGGGCAGAAAAGGACGTGTACAAAATTTCAACGCAATATCTCAAAAACTAAGAAACTAGTTTCTGTATATACAGACGGACGGACAAGCTTAAATCAACTCAACTCATTACGCTGATCATTTACATATATACAGGACCTTCGACGTTTCCTTCTGGGTGTTACAAGTTTCGTGGCAAATTTAATACACCCTGTTCAGGGTATAAGAATTAAAGTTTGTTTAACTAATGTTTGATGAGTAAATTAAAAATCTATGTAGCTATGTACGTATATATTTGCAGTTGTGTGCACACATACCATTCGCTTGATCCTTTGACTGATCCGATTTCACTTCCACTCGTATGATTTTCGTTGGCGTATTATCAATGTGATTTTCGATTTTATCTGAGATTCTGTGTCAAGCAGAGAGAGAAGAAATTACAAAACAACGTACAGTGATTTCAATGAAATTTGCAACCTGATTTGACTAGAAGGACGACGTTTGATGCGTTTGTTGCTGGTACTACGCAATTCCTCCAAGAATTTCGCCATTTTACGATCGGCCACATCGATGCACGTTTGACCGGCATAATTGCGTATATCCATATCGGCCATGGCATTGACCAGCATATCGGCGGCCTCCTTTTGCCCCCAATGTGATGCAGCATGCAACGGCGTCCAGCCGTCATTGTCCTGTTTATCAACATTAGCACGACCGGCGAGTAGTAAACTTATAACCTTAAAGAGCGCAAAAAAATTTTGAAGAAATTGCAATGAAATTTTGCCTTAAAATTAATTAAATAAACGCCCACCTTTGTATAGCCCTTTGCTGCCGCTACGTGCAGCGCTGTGGCACCTGTTTTCGGATGCGGCCGATCCACTTCGGACGCATCGCTGCGCAACCATTTCTTGGCATCGCTCAACATTAGCTGCTCCTCCGCCTGTCGCGCCTTCTCGCAGTCGATATTGTGTTCAGTCATCACCTTTTGCATGAAATCCATCATCGCCAAATGTTGTATATCGACAGCCAAGTCCACGGCCAAGTCACCGTCGCTATTTACAGCGGCCGGATCCGCGCCATGCTCCACCAAATAGCGCGCTATGCTCACGAAGCTGTCCACAGCAAAAACAAAAATATTAAAAAAAAAAAATGAAAACGACATAAATATTGCGAAAGTGGTGTCAAAAAGCGCAAGAAATTATTTATTTTTTGTTTAATATTATTACTGCCAATTTCACTTTCAAAAACATTTTGACCAATTGGTTACTCACCCGCATGAGGCGGTGGCATGCAGCGGCGTCCAACCTTCATTATCTTGTCTGTTTATATCAGCGCCATGTTCGATTAGAAATTCCACCATTTCTAGATTATCATCAATGCAAGCCTAAAATAAATAACAGAATTCGTGATTTATTTTATTTTGCTTGACATATTTACATCTTTAAAAGAAATATTTACACAAATTAAATGAATAGTTTACAAAATTTTTAAATAAAAACTAAAAATTTTAATAGCATATAGGGCTCAATAGACCCTTGGTCCTCATACTATTCTAATAGCATATTTCTTTGAACTCTGATGCGAGTTGGAAAATCAATTTAAAAATTTTAAACTGGAGAAATTTATTAAAAAAACGGGTAACCACGTGATTTTATATTAATAGAACTTTGAGTACCAAATAAAATGCTTTGTTATAATGTTGTTGTTATATTTAAACGGTTATTTATGCCGGCTTAGGATTTTCAAAACATCGATTTTTTTTGGCTTAAATTACAATTTAGGTCCTAAAAACATTATTTTATATAGTGATCAAAATGTCTGTAAAACTTGCTGTATTTTTTGATCATTTTATTATCTCCTAAGGTATGTGACTTCGCTGATATACGCCTAGATGTAGGCAATAGTTTGATCTTATAGGTCTAATGTGTGAAAGGATCGAATGAGAATCAAATAAGGGAACTCAAACTCAAAAATATTATAATTAAGTGTTGAGATGTTTGGGTAAATCACTAGTCAGTTTAAGCACGTAAAACTTTAAATGTGTTTTTCTCGAAACTGCATTTTAAGGATCCGACGATGATTGTATTGGGAGAGAACTTTGCACGTATTCAGCGGAAATTTCAACTGTAACTTCACAGTATAATTAGTAGCAAGACAGTGTCATTAATTTTAGTCAATATAAGTTATGAAAAAATATTTTTTAGGAAATCGGAACCTTCATGTTTTTAAGAAAGCCAAGAAAAAAGGTTAACTTTGGTTCTATCGTTGATATAATAACCTTCACAAATAAAAAAGTTTGCATATAAGATTTTGAAATTAATCGATCAGTTTCAATGTCAGCTATATATTAAAGTAGTCCGGATGAGAATAATTTTTTCGGAGATTATAGACTTAGACAATAATCCATGTCAAATTTCGTGAAGATATCTTGTCAAATCAAAAAGTTTTCCATACATGGGCTTGATTTTAATCGATTAGTTTCTATGACAGCTGTGCGTTATAGTGGTCCGAAATCGTTGTTCCGACAAATGAATACTTCTTTGGATGTATGCAAAACGATAGCTTAAAAACTGAGAGACTCGCGTATATACGGACAGACAGACGTACATTCGGTAATGGCTAAATCGACTCAGCTCATCATGCTAATCATTCATATATATTTTTATTTTTAGGCGCTCCGACGTTTTCTTCTGATTATTACAAACTTCGTGGCCAACTTAATATACCCGGTTCAGGGTAATTGTTATTAATACTTATAAATTATATTAAATTTCCCACAGAGAATTTCATAAGAAGTCGAAATTTATCATATGTAAAAAATTCCAATCAATTTAAATATAAATTATTACTACAAATAACCATTGAGGCACTCTTTACCTAGAAAAATACAGACACTTGAGTAAAAAGCATGTAATCTGTTACAATAAAAAAAGTTCGAAAATAAAAATTTGCGTCATTATCAGCACAAAATATTAATACAGTAAATACAGCAGTAGTGTACAGCAAATTTCCTAGAATACATCCAAATTACAACAAAAATTATCAAATTGATAAACAAAAAGAATAGTTACAACGCAACAACAAAAATGAACTCCTATGCGGCGATAAATTTAAAGTGAAAAGTAAAATGGACTTCGCACAAAAATGACGATGATATTATCGCTTCTCCCAGCGCTCGACAATGCCCTGCACCGATTGCGGAATAAGGTGGTACGCAATGGTGGAGAAATAGTACGCCTCACGCCTCTTTCACCCATATATACACACACACACACACAAACACGCAGCAACGTGCATGCAAATAGGTATGTACGAGTATGTATGTATAAACAATAACAAATCAACAGAAAGTAGAATAATATTAGCAAAAGGTGCAAATATCCACATTGCCCAGCTCACCAGCGCGCATTGTTTAAATTTTATAGTACACATTCTGATAACGGCAAATCAAGAATATATGCATGTAGGAAAGGAAAAAACGATTAAATATATATAATGTTATTTTGGCCAGCCACACAAGCAGTCATGCCGATTTTGGTGTGCTCGAAGGAATGTCTAAACGCCACTTCAAAATAGAGGCGTCGACGCCTGCCACTCTGCTGACTGTCACCTTTCTATTCTTACTATTTGTTTGCCTTATCAATTTGCATAAAGCATTCGGATTCGGCACAATCGAAAATGTATCTATGAAATTAGATTATTTATGAGGAATGTGATGACTGTACAAAAGCGAAGCGAGAGTGTGTTCTACATTCAAATGTATAGTCGAAGAAATTGATTTGGAAAAATTCAAAAATAATAAAATGGGTACGTGAATATTTCATCGTTATATAACATAAAACACATATTTGGAATTTGGAAAAAGTTTGCGGAAATTTAGCCAAATGTAATTTATGCATCAAGGAATTATACCCACTTGGAAGTCAAAAAAATGCGTTTTTCGAGAATTTTTTTTTTCTGAACCGGCATTTTATTTAATAAATATATACAATTAATATGCGTCTATAGAATTTATTGTAATTTAATAATAATTAATAAATACAATTTTGATTTCCTTGATCCCGTAGCCGATCTTTTGGAGTACCTCCGAAAAAAGGTATCAGGCGGTGAGAAAGATTTTTTTGCATAAAACTATATGAAGTACAAAAACAAACAAAAAAATTATTATAACTTTAGATAAATAAAGGTGATGATCAAAGGTATAGACAAAATTTTGATTTTTAATATTTTAAGATTTTTTTTTATATGGCGGCTTCCCAAAAACAAATTTTTTTTTTTTGAAAAATTTTCACTTCTGAGTGACTTAAAAAATCGAAATTATTATCAAAAACCTTCCTCCCTCTATCATTTTTTAACAATCGTGTGAAAAGTTAAGTCGATCGGTCCAGCTCGGTCCGTATCGATATAATCCCTTAAATGCAATTCATATACATTTTTGTTGTTTTTTAAAACCTTTTTTAATTTGACTTAATTTATAGAAACCAATTTCATAAACTTCATAATTAATTTCTCAATTTTGGTGGATATTGATATTAAATCATATGTGACTTCGCTGAAATACGCCTAGAGGTATACAACACTTTTTTATTTTTATTAATTTATGGCTGAAACGTTCGTTTGAGATTCTAACAATTGTACTCAAATCAATTTGAAAAATTATAATTTTTATTTAGAATACTCATAATAAAAATAATCTAGATTCCCCAAATGTAAATGAAGATATAAGCAGGCAGCTAAACACACCTAAGTTTACAACGATTTGAAAATATTTCTTTTATAATATCCACTTTCGTTTTTCATCATAATATTTACTAAAAACAATGAAAATAAGAAATTCATTGAGCTGTTTTTATGATTCTGGTTTAAATCCACAATCGAATGTTGTGGCTTAAACTCGAAGTTTTAATATTGCCTGCCACCAGGCGTCAACTATTACAAATTAACTTTTCCAAAAATTGTGCATGTTCGGGAAACCTCAAGCGCACGAAAGCTTGATCACGTAGTCGTTTAGTTAAGTATAGATTAAATTTCGGCTTAAAAGACTAGGTTCCGTTGTAAGACCTGATGCAATAAGATGCGTAACAATAAAACTGCGTACGTGCGTAAAATATTCTTGAAGCTATAAATGTTTTCATTCAGTTTATGCAGATTAAAATCTTTCAAAAAACCACAATATATCCAACCAGAATTATAATAATCGTAAGAACGTTTAATTGAAGCAAGATTTTTCATTGCGGTTTCCAATAATTTTAATTTCTCTTAGAAATTGGATTTCCTGTCTTAGTATTGCGCCTTTTAATAGAAGCTCGGAACATGATTCGAAAAACTGTTCTAAAAAAAATTGTTATTACGTAAAACTAATAAAAAAATATTACTTAAATTATAAGAAATATTTACTTTTTTACTTTAGTTTTTCGAATATTTTTTTATCCTTTTCTTAATAACTCTAATAATTTTTTTTTTCTGATTATTAAGTGCAAAAGTTGAATAATTCAATGACGCATCAGCTGCAGCACTTCCTCTTTGATTATCTTATGTGAGAATTAGAAAATTCAACAGCAAATATATTAATAGCAACAGCTGATTTCGTACACGTGGCGCCAGTGATGTGGGTAATATTTTCATGAGTATACCAGTTCAAATTCAATGAGTTGTTGTTATTTGTTTATAAAATTATAAATGAGTTCATGGAAAATTCATATGAGGAATTAAATTCTAAAGTTATTCAAACTACTATTTTTTGTACAAAATGAATAAAAGAAACACATAAAATTAAAATAAAAAACACCTGCAAAAATTAATAAATAAAGTTTAATTGAAGAAAAGAAAAAAATTAAAAAACGAATATAAAAATTAGAATTACAACTCAATTTCTACCAGAATAGAAAAATTAATAAAACCTTCACATAAAAAATCAAGCAATTTATAAAAACTAGCACGAATGCTATGCTATTCAACAAATCGAAATTTTTTCACAAAAAACGACTTTTTTTGGGAAACCGCCATTTTGTCAAAAAAAAAAATTGACTAGGCCTTCGAACATTATCTGTATACATATGTATATTGTAATATTTTTAATTTTTTTTTGGTGTTTAGATTGGATATAATTTTAAGCAGAAAATTATTTTTATTACCAGTTTCAAGATCCTCCTGAAGATTGATTACGGGATCAAAGAAATGCAATTTTTTTCAAAATGAGTCGCCGATTATTTAAATACATGAAATTCTGTAAATGTACAATTTATTAATACACAAAATGCCTATTCAAAAAACAAGCAAGTGGATAAAACTACTTAATGGCAGAAAACGCACTGGACACGAGGCAATCACAATTAGAAGGAGGTCTACTTTTAAAGTTTAAACGATTAGTAATCGAGGCCTTAA